CTTCCCTTGCTCCCCTCCCTCCCTCCCTCCCTCCCTCCCAGCTGTTTTCTGGCCACCATGATGTTAACTACTCTGCTTTATCACCCTGTTCCCGACACCCTGGACTGCAAACCCTGGAATCATGAGCCAACACAAGCCCCTGCCCTTCTCAAGCTGTTTTGCTCAGGCGTCTTCACAGTGATGAAGAGTCAGAGGACATGGTAGGAGGAGATAGGAAGCCTGGCTTACAGAAACACGGGGTTCAGCACGGGGAAGCCCCCTCCCTGCCCATGTCCTCACAGCTGACCTTCAGAAGTCCTTGGATTCAAAGCCTGCTCTTCCTTCTACACTTTCAGGTGGAAGCTGCCCCTCTCAGGATGCTACTATGATTCCGTTCAGTCTCAGGGACAACAGCCATTACCACTGCGTCCTTTCTTTAGAGTGGGCAGGAGGGAGCTCAAGTTCAAGGGTTGGTTCCCTTGACCAGAATGTGAGTGTCCAGATGGGCTAGGGCCAGGCTTGAGCTTAATTCCTTGGGTACACCATGTTCCATCAGGACCAGGGCAGCCAGAGGGAACCTGTGTGGGAGTGGCAGCCAGGTTGGTGGCCATCTGGAGGGATCAGCTCTTCTTCCCTGTTTGAGAAAGGGCTCTGGGTCCAGGGGACAACACTCAGCTTCTCAGTGCATTGTTGTCCCGGCTCCACCGGGGACTCTGATAGTTTGGATGCCTGGGGACCAGCCAAGCTGGACATTCTCTCCTTCCACGCTTCTGCTAGCGTTCAGGCCCTGGGACACCCACTCCAACCTAGAGACAGGCTATGGAATCCAAGAGGGCAGGCCTGTAGATGTCCTGCGAGACCTCTGCATTCACTCCTCACCGCACGGAGGAGACGGAGGCCTTAGGCTGAGGATTGAACTGGACCCCTAGCCTCTACTCAGCAAGCACGGAGAGAGTAACTAGTACATTAACAAGTTTGCCTCCTTGGGAGGCTTCTATGTCTGTCTGCCTGCCTCCCGCCCACCTCCCCACCCCCATGCCTCCCCAGAGATGTGGAAATTTATGTGATAGACATTCCAACTCACCAAGTAAGGCAGCAACTTCATACGCCTTCTTCTGTTCAATTGTCTCGTAATTGAGCGCTTCAAAAAATATATCCAGGACAAGAATGTTCTCTCTGCAGAGGGAAAATTAAACACCACACACGGTTAGAACCCTCAGCATTTACGGGACGGCTAATGCAGCTTTCCTGTGGATGGATAGAGAAAGGGAGGCCTAGGGAGCTGCCCAAAAGACGAACTCCAGAGCCAGAGGCTCCTGTCATCTGTGTCCCTGTTTGTCCTTACATCTACTCGATTCTCTTGGCAGCCTTTCTGGGAGTCCAGCCCGCACCCAGGTCCTTGAGTCTTCTGGGGCCTGCTTGGTTGTTAGCATGCAAATGAGCCCAGCAATCTCCTGATTAGGCTGGCCTCAGTTTGGGTGCTTGCCCCAGCCGAACATCTAAATGGTTATGGCCCACTCCTGAGAGTCCCCATTTTCTCCTGAGACCCCGAACAAGCCTCTGGAGGTGGGAGGCCCTGACCTGGCATTGTTCAGTCGGTTGCCAGAGCTGGGAAGGACTGGAGGGATTGGGCCCGTGGCTGGCTGTGGGGATTCCTGGCAGAAGCCCGGCACTCCTTCTGTGACTTTCCTGCAGGCAGGTGTGTTAACGAGACACATCTTGGCAGTGAAACTCATCCCTACTTGCAGAATGCCTGCTAAGCAGCAGGGCCCGGTGTTTCCTGCACTAGTCTCCTTCCGTGGGGCTCGACATGCCCTCCATGCCCCTTGTTTTAACCTGTTGAGCAGAAGTCATCTCAGGAAGGGGCCTGGCGACTGTCCTGGAAAGGGAGAGTGGCTGGGAGAGAAGGAAGCAAGTGCCTTCCACACCGTGGAACTTTACAGCAATGAATAGGCTCCCTTTCTCCCATCTGGCTTCCTCCCTGACTGCCGCCTGGAGGGTCTTTCTGAAACTGTTGTGTTGATTCAAATTAAAGAAGACCACAATTCAGTTTCTCAGTCATACGAATGACATCACAGATGCTTCACAGCCATGCAGGCATGGCCAGTGGTTACCACATTGGGTGCCACAGTTGTAGAATCTATCATTCCAGAATGCTCTATTGGGGAGCAGAGTTCAAGAACACAAATTTGACACGGGCTATTATTTTGTCATTCCTCTCGGTTGTCTGCCTGAACTAGGTAGTAAGACCTAACGGTAAAGACATCACACATATTTTGGTGACAGGGCATAGAGAATCAGGCAGGAACTGAGCTGGAAGCTTCCTCCCTGCCGGCCAGCGTTCAAGGTGTTATGCAGGTGCTGAGGTAGAAAAGTCATCAGTGGTCTTACCCAGCTGTGCCCCCTGTGAGATACAATACTAACCAGCCGGGGAAGATATACCCACTGGTGCAAGATGGCATGAAGGTTATAAGGGTAACTAACTGCTTTTTGATTGCATTTGAGGTCTGTTTCATGAGAGAGAATCTCTATTCACTACTGTAAACCTTCTCAAGAGCCCACGGCTGGGGAGATCATAACTGCCTTCGCCCCCCCTCACCCCCAGTGGGGTGGGGGCGGGGATCATCTAGTACTTTTGTTTTGCTAAGTGGACATGTGTCAAACTGCCTTCTAAGTACTTACATTTTTAACCCTAGATGATTGCAGCTCTCAGCACTTGGTCAGAGGAGGTTCTGTTTGCAGTGAGCAATGCTAACACCGAGACTCATAATGGGTTGAAGTGCAGAGAATAAGTGATTGGTTTTTGTTGTTTTTTGTTTTTTTTGAAACTGAAACCTGACCTGGAACTCACTTTGTAGACCAGGCTGGCCTCAAACTCGCAGAGATTCACCTGCCTCTGCCTCCCGAGTGCTGGGATTAAAGGCATGTGCCACCACAGCCTGGCCGAGAATAAGTGATTGTTAAGGGCTAATCTCTAAATGGAACACCTATACCAACCCCTCCAACCCCCACCCCGCAAGGCTTGGGGAACACCATGGAAAAGAAGGGAGAGAGAAGGGAAGAGCTGGAGGATAGGGAGGAGTACAGTGAAACGCTGTCCTCTGGACGTGCCGCGGCCATCCATTGCGCCTGTGGACTCAGCCGCTAAGGTTACCTGAACAAGACCTGTACAAGACAGGGCCCATCAGCATTCCTGCAGGGATGGGGAGGGGCTCATGAGGCCTCACCCAGTGGTTGCTAAGCGAGAAGTAGTTTTCTTCAGTGGTAGAGCCGCTGGTAACTTGCCTGTACTTCAGTAAATAACCCCACCCATGCTCATGCAAGCAAGCTCAACAGGACACACAAATACTCCCCCAAACAACAAGACACACAACAGTGAGGAGGAGGTCTTTGGGAAAGAAGAAGAGATTCTGTAGGAGTGGGAGGGGGATTGAAAGAGTGTGACAGCACGTGAAAATGACCACAATACATCACATATATTATGAGATCGTCAAAATAACTTAATAAATAAGGAGAATACAAATTTGATGAGCTGGGCCTGGTGACATAGGCCTATAATCCTAGCACACGGGAGTTGAGGCAGGAGGATCATGAATTTGAGGCCAGCCCTCCAACAATAGTGAGACCCTATTTCAAATAAAAATTATAAAAGGCAAATTTGAGCTTGTCATGGACCTTCTAAACGGTCAGCTGCTCCCTAGTCTAACATGAGGTCCCTTCCCCTGAACCTCACCCCCACTCACCCTTAGCTCATCCTATGGGATCTGTGACACGTCCATCTTTCCCTGAGTCTCTGATGTTCCCTGTGCCAACTCTGCCCTAAGTCCCCCCCTGGGACACACTCTCCTGTTCATTTACCCCATGTAAAAGGATTTTTTGCCCCCCAGATCTGAGCCAGAAGGATCAGTGGTACTTGAGCAAAGAATAAGAAGAAGTTCCTGCCATTTGGGGAGCTTCCCACTATGACCACTGTACAGGGCGGCAATAAAGACGGACTCAGACTGGAAAAGAAAGTTAGAATATGGGGAGGGGCTGTCTGTTTAAGTCTCTGAAGAGACCAGATCCCAAAGCCTGAAGACATCAGGCTATGTCCTGCTGCCCTGCATCTCTCCGTCTGTGCTGTGGCTGGCAGGTATTTATTTATATAAAGTTCCTTCCAGCCCCCAAAACCTACAAAAGTCAGCTAACCCTCCTGTTTGGGGAATTCATCTGAAGGCTTTTTTTTTCTGGGTCCCTCCCCACCAACCCCTGCCACCCACCCCTTTCACCATGGCTCTATCTTTTTTTTAATGATTAATTTATTTTTATTTCATGTACATTGGTTTGCCTATATGAGGGTATTGGATCCCTTGGAACTGGTGTTAGAGACAGTTGTGAGCTACCAGGTGGGTGCTGGGAATTGAACCCAGGTCCTCTGGAAGATCAGCCAGTGCTCTTAACCACTGAGCCATCTCTCCAGCCCCATGGCTCTATCTTTACCTCTCTTACTTTTTCAGTTGTTCCTGTCAATGTTAGCGCCTTTCCAGGCTTTAAAAGGAAGCCCCTCTTTCCCTTCAAGGTCCCAGCCCATGGGTTTTGACATCCTGTTGTTTCTTTCTAATAATTTCCCACTTCATGGCCTCATCATGCTCTTGGATTTCTGAGATGCCTGGTATGGGTGCTGGAATCCGAACAGCTCTCCCAGCTGCTGAGCCATCTCTCCATGCCCACCCCTTTTAAACCTAATTCTTGACGGATAGTTGTGTCAGCTCCTTTCCTGAATGGAACCGCTCAGTTAACAGCAAGTCACACTCTGAAGCAGTATTATAAAGGAAAACACCACAGTGCCTGGGGAGGAGAATAATCTAACCTTCTAAGACAATGCTATTTAAATGGAGACAGGTACCTCGAGGAACCAGCTAGGCAGAGTGGCAGGAAAAGTGTTTCCAGAAGAGGGAACAGAAGGCTCAAGACCCACCAGGAGAATTACATGCTCTTTAGAAAGCTCAAGCTTTCCCTGAACCTTACCCGGAGCAAACTACAGTCAACTACGGTTACCCCTTAGTGTCTGCATATCTCAATTATAACCAACATTGTCCCAGACGTCATTGCCCTATGTGGCATTAAATCCTGCACTTATCTCCCCGGGAGGCTGCAAGCTCTTTGTGGCTTTGTCTTCTGAGCTTGGCACACAGCAGGTGCTCAATTAATGTTTGCTAAATTGAGCTAACTGCTTGCCTTTTTGCCTCTTTCTGCATGCCCCCTCCCCATGCTCTCCCTTCCCACTTAACTTACGAGATATATTTTTCAGATTTGTTAAATTTCTTCTCCAGGTACTTGGCTGACGTCTTGCTGGGGATCTTCACCATGGAGAGCTCTTTGTTGTAACGGGTCAGGTTGCAGGGTGTCCTGCAGAGACAGTAATTGCTGTCCTTTTCTGCCAGGAGGCCTGGAGGAGAGAGGAGAGGGTCTCAGGCAGGCCTGGGTGGGGGCGAGGATCTCTGGTCCAGCATACCCAGATTCTAGGCATTAAGAGAGCAAGCCGGGCCCCAGGAAACTGGGCTAGGAAATTGCTAAGATGGGATTGTGTGTGTGTGTGGGGGGGGGCTTTAAAGTGTTGATCCATTGCCACTTTTAGGGAGACAGTTCCACGGGGAGGCCTGGCCCCTCCCATTCCCGGGACTTTCTCCTGTGACTAGCATCAGAGTTCTGACCCACAGAGTGGGCCACCATGGAAGTTAACATGGAGAACACGGTGCTTGGAGCTCAGGGTTTCATGTTCTTCTTGCTGGTTCTCTCCATAACCAATGCCATGCCCTCTGCCTACTGAGAGGCCACACAGGGAAAGATCCTTGAACCCTTTTCCTGGAGCGACCTAAACCCTTCCCTCCACCCCCCACCCCCCAACACCCAGAACATAGCTCTCCCTTTCCCCTCCAACCAGACCAGGTGGTTAAGGCACTGCGGCCCTCTGACAGGCTCTCTCTTTAACCAGACTTTAGCCAGGGCCTTGAGAGCGGCTTCTCCACTGCTCAGCCCCGCTTTGGAAAGAAGCCTGCTCAAGGCAGTGTAGAGAGAATTCCCACCTTGATCACCCTGGCCCTCCCCCTAGGAAGAATCCCAGCCCTGTGAGTAGCAACACTCCCCTCCTGAAATCTCCGCTGTCCTGACCCTTCACGGTGCTTGCAGGGGATGAGTCCCTGACTGCTCGCTACATGCTGAGATGAATCCCCTTGTTCCCCTGTTGCAGTCACCTTGATGCTTCATCGCAAGGGTCCACAAGTGTTCTTAACCATTAGCAACGAAAACTGTTCCTTCAGCCCCTCCTCCCCTCCCTTTTCCTCCCTTCTTCCCTCCTTCTTTTGTTCTCCCTCACCCTTATGTCTCTTTCACTCGGTTTTGTTATCTTTATTCCAAAGAAAGACTCTGCATGTATTGTAAACCCTGCCCGCCCCCGTCCCCGCCCCCCTTCTCAGGCCATCTCCCGCAGGAGTCCAGCTTTGCCCTCACTTAGGGCTACCAAGTGCAGCTGCTGGAGGACCTGGAGTGCGCTGTGTTTTCGGTTCTGTCTGCCTTTTCCTGGGACTGGAGCGAGGGGAGGTAGGCACACGGCAGGACAGCTGCTGAGCTCCCCCCCCCCCCGCCCCTGCCTCTGTGCTCCTCCTCCCTCCCTGCTTTCCAGCTGGGGAGCCAGCAGTTATTTTAGACCTCAAATGCCCTGGAGGCTGTGAGGGGAGGAGGGTGGGGGGAAAGTGGGGAGCTGGCAGTGGTGGCATAGTGGGGCTCAGAATGGCATGTGTTTGCACACCTGGGATGGGAGAGGACCTCCCCTCGCCGCCACTTCCTCTCCCTTGGGCTCAGAGCGTGGGTGGAAAGGACACGCTGCTTTCGGATGAACTTGGTCCTCCCCTGTGGCTTCACCAGCCTCCTTCAGGTGACCCAGTGGCCCCTCGGCCACCCTCTCTCCATCTCTGCCCTCTCCCTGTATCCTCCACTCCCTGTGAATCTACTTCTCCATCACCACCTCTGTGTCTCCTCTCCCTCAGGCCCCTTGCGGCTCTCATCCACCTGTATGGTTCCTTCCTCTCCTCTCTTCCAGCTTCCTGCAGCCACCCCATCGTGCAGGGCTTCTTTGTGCTCATCCCTTCCCTGCTCCGTTTTCCATGGCTGACTTCTGTGTCCCTACCAGATGACCCCACAATCACCACGTCTCACCTCCCACCCCCTCTGTCCCCAGTACTGACCGAGGGCAGGCTCTGCACACTCCTTGTGCTGCTCAGGGGTGCAGAAAGGAGCATCTCCTGCAGGGAAAGAAAGCAAAGAGAGAAACAGCGTTAAGCACACAGGAGCTATGCATGCCAGCGGCACCTCACTGGCCCAGGCAGTGAGTGATTCCCAGCACCCACAGGGATAAGCTGTCTCCACGGGACAGTTTGGGGTACCACTGTTTAGTGTCCTCAGAACTGGAGGTGACTTCTGATTTGCTGTGAGGAGGAGACCGTGAGACCTGCCTGGCCCTCTTCTGGTGGCTCACAATGGTGGATGGTGGGGTAACTTGTCTGGAAAACTGGGGACAAAACAAGGTGAGGGTGGGCTGAGAAGGAGGTTCCTTCTAAGCCAGGCCCATGCGGTCTCCTTGAACCCTTGTGTTAGGCTTCCAAGTAGAAAAACATGGGGCTCAGCATGGAGCCTTCCAGACAGTGAGCTCCTGGTGGTAAGGTGGGGTTGGCAGAGGGGTCTGTGCCCTCCGGAGACTGCTGCTTCTCAGCACACCACACTGCTATGGGCAGCCTGGGGTGGCTCTGTGCCTCCTCACAGCCCTGCCCATCACCTCATGCAGCTGAGACATCACAGGTAATGTCACGGCTGGAATGACTGCAACCTCACTATATCTGCTTGCCCCTGGCTCAGGTTTCATGGAGAAAACTCATGGCTGGGGGTTCAGTCTGGGCATCAGGCAAGCTGATGCTAGTCTTCCTAGTCTTTCTGAAATCTCTCTGTAGAACACTAAGATCTCTTTTTTGTTGTTGCTGCTGATTGTTTTATTTTCTCCTCTTTTCTTTTTTTCCTCGTGAAATGCTTAAAGCCAAGATCCACCAGAAATGTCTTTTTTGGACCATTTTCCCCCAAGTCCTTTTTACAGCATCGAAGAGCGGGTACATTTCCCTTTTCCAATAATAACACGTTAAGTGATGTGGTTTCCATTTTGCCCTGTCTTCCAGGAAGCTCATAGGCAATTTTAATGTCATTATTTAAAGCAACACACATTTCTCCTCTTGTACTTTGTAGGTCTGCAGTCAGTTACAGGCATCATTGGTGTTGGGAGAGTTATGTTCTTTTCTGGAGGATCTACACCAGTGGTTCTCAACCTTCCTAATGCTGCAAACTTTTTAATTCAGTTCCTCATGTTGGGGTGACCCCCAACTGTAAAATTTTTTCTTGCCACATTGTAACTATAATTTACTTTGGTTATGAATCATAATGTAAATATCTGATATGCAGGATATCTGATATGTGACCCCCCCAAAGGGATCACAATCTAAAGCTGAGAACCTGATCTAGGGGGACAATCCACTGCCTTTGTAGTTTCTACAAGCCCCTCTTTGAGTCTTCCCTCAGAGCTGCCTCTGACGTCAGCCATGGGAGCGATGTTGATTTCAAGGTCCAGAGTAGCTTGATTGGGCCCACTCCTACGTCTTTCCCCCCTAATGTCAGTGGCCTCAAAAGTATTGGCAAAGTCTCTCTGGACAGAGGCAGTTTTAAAGATCAATGATTCCAGTCTTGGATGACTAAGATCACTACTGATCACGAATGAAATAATTCAGAATTCAGCCACGAGGAGACTCACTTGAGAGCTGTCACCAACAAAAACAACAGGTGATGGCCTAAGTCTCCACCAGAAGGATTGTGTTAAATAAGCTTAAATAATGTAGGAGGTAAGCACAGAAGAGCAAATATCAAAAGGGACAGCATTGCTGTAAGCACATAGTAGGTCATTAGTCGATATGACTTGCTCCTATCTCCTTGTGCACTAATATAACCACCACTGACTTTTGTTTTTAGAGCATCTTTACATCTTTTTTCTTTTCTTTCTCTTTAAGATAATGAAAGTAAAAACAGAGAGGGTTAGTAACATGGGCCAGCCACACAGTGAATAAAGAAGCCTGAAATAGAAGCTAAGGTCCATGCCCACAGTCCCAGTTGCCCGTCCTTGCTACCACTGTCCTGCCCAAACCAGCTCCCACTCCACAGTCCTGCCTCTGACATGCTGACTGCCTCTAATGAGATGGCAACAAGCGTTATTAGGCTGACAATGGAAATGTCTGCACAGGCACATTTATTTGCTCACTAATAGACTTTTGCCACACTTGAAAGAGAGCTAGACATTTGGATGCAAGAAGGGAAACATCTGGGTGAAAGCCACAGACATCTGGATGTTCAAACAGGCACATTATCAGGATGTGTGGATCACAAGCATCCCATTATCTGGACATTGAACTCAGGAGGCAAGAGGAACAGACAACTGGCAAGCATATGGAGCATGGAGATGGAGGTGATGCACACATCTGGGCACCCCTGCATACCAACCAGAATGCTGCTCTGATTGATGGATCAGACAGAATATTTCCACCCGCCCCTTGGTTGTCAGGTACCACAGTCTCCCTAGAACAATATTCCTTTGCATCCTCCAGGAGTGGGTGAGCTGTTTCCGGTCGGGGTGGGAACCCCAAAGGTCCTGGGGGCTCTGACACCCACCTGGCATGTGGACCATACGGCAGTTGCAGTTCTCCACAATGTAGCGGGTCTCACAGTCAATCCGACAGGCGGTGATGCTGTAAACAGGAAAGAAGTCGAGCCCCATCTCGGAGGACCGACACTCCCCCCATGGTGGGGGCAGATACGTGAGCTGGAAGACAAACAAGAAGGAGGATACAATCATCCCTGGCAGAGGATGCTCGCTCCGTTTCCATGGACTCGGTGGCACATTGGTCTGCCTGTTCAACGGGCAAATAAGCAATGGAGTATCTTCAGCAACCTAAACCCCACTGGCCTTTGTGGACCTTCACCATCTGGATACCATATGAGTTTTCCCACCTTATTTATTTATTTATTTATTTATTTATTTATTTATTTATTTATTCATTCATTCATTCATTCATTCATTCATTCAGCCAATTTTCATGGAATTTTGCTCTCATTAGTCTTTTTATTTAAAGATTTCATTTTTTTGGGTCCATATATGTGCCTATGAGTATGAACACATATGCATGCATAGGCATGGTAGAGGCCAGAAAAGGGCATTGGATCCCCTGGAGCTGGGGTTCCAGGTGGTTGTAAGTTACCATGTGAGTACTGGGAACTGAACTGGGGTGGTCTACAAGAACAACAAATGCTCTTAATGACTGAGCCATTGCTCCAGCCCTGTCCTTGGAGTCTACTCTCCAAGCTGTGTCTTTCCACATCAGTGTCAACTAGTGGTACCTGGAATGACCCATCTAAATTCTACCTTGCTGGCTGGGAAGACTGGGGCCCCAGACACAGACCTGGAGGATAAGTCACAGAAGAGGACAGGGTGAAGTGACTGCAGGCTACAGCCACTGTTATTTATGGTCCTGATCATGATGTGGATGACACCCCAGGATGGACAATGTCACTCCTACTCTCAGAGGTCCAGTAACCATAGATTTTCAAACATCTATTGTACTTGCTTGAGAGGGATGCGGAGGGTGATGGATGAGAGAGTTAATGGTCCTGGGCACTTTCTAGGCTATTGCTACTAAGTTAAGCAAACTCTTTACACCCAGTTTTCCTTTTAAGATGGAAGAAGAAGAAAAACAATAAAATGTGCACATTTGGGGCCAGGGAGATGGCTCACTGGGTACAATGCTTTGCCACACGAGTGTAAGGACCTGAGTTCAGATCCTTAGACTTTCCTGTGGAAAGTCCGTCATGGTGGCAGGCAGCACACATCCGATCGCTACCATCATGAGAAGTGGAGACAAGAGGGCTCCTTGAAGCCTGAAGATCAGCTAGCATGGCGTACACAGTGGAGAGGACAAGAGACCTCATCTCAAACAAAGTGGAGCTTTGAACTCTGATCCTCCACACTCAATATGGTATATGTACACACCCCCCAAATCCTCTTTTTTTTTTTTTTCTTTTTTGGTCTTTTTATGTTTGAGAAAGGGTCTCACTATGTAGCTATGACTGTCCTGGAACTCACTCTATAGAGCAGGCTGGCCTTGAACTCGCAGAGATCTGCCAGCCTCTGCCTCCTGAGTGCTGGGATTAAAGGCATGAAGATTAAAGGCACCTGGTCACACTACAAATCCTAAGTGCACAGTTTGAGTTCTGTCAAATGTGTATCGTCTACCTGTGTAAACATGGCATCAGCGAAGACATGTGAAGACATTTTTATCCCTATAGAAAATGAATTCATATCCCAGCGCCCTCCCGGGCAACCACGCTCATGAATTCTGTTACACTGTCTGTCTAGTCTCTTTTCAAACTTAAATAATTGACAGTTTGCCCTATGTACTTTTTTTTTTTTTTTTACCAGCTCCTTTCACTCAAAATGATGGTTTTGTGGTGTTCCACATGGGGGCGCACCTGGAGTTCGTTCCTTTTTTCTGCTGAGTCATTCTTTAACATAGGAACACTCCTGGCTTGTTGATCCGTTCACCTAATGGTGTGCATTGGGATCGGTTCTATATTTTGATAATTATAAAGAAGACCCCATGAGTATTTTCTTTTTAAAGATTTATTTATTTATTATGTATACAGAGGAGGGCGCCAGATCTCATTACAGATGGTTGTGAGCCACCATGTGGTTGCTGGGAATTGAACTCAGGACCTCTGGAAGAGCAGTCGGTGCTCTTAACCTTTGAGCCATCTCTCCAGCCCGAGTATTTGTTAATTAATTTATAGGCAAGGTCTTGTATAGTACAGGCTGGTCTCAAACTTGTTGTGTAGCCAAGGACCTCCTGATGGTCCTACCTCCATCTCCCAAGTGCTAGGTCACAGGCATGTGTGACCATACCTAGCAGAGTGTGGTAGTTTGAATGGGCATGGCCCCTGTAGACGTGTTTGAATGTTTGGCCCGTAGGAAGTGGCACCATTAGAAGGTGTGACCTTGTTGGAGGTCAGAGAGCAACTTGCAGGAGGAGTTGGTTCTATATCCCAGGTGGGATCCAGGGATCAAACTCAGGTTGTCAGGCTTGGTGGCTGGTACTCTAACCAGCTGAGTCACCTCCCCAACCCTCCGCTGTTTTATTTCCAGGAGGAGTGAATGACAGTTGTACTCTCTCCACATCCATGCTGGCTCTTGTCTCTTTGTTGGTTTTAGCCATTTTTGTTGGGGTTCAACTGTAGCACCTTGGTGTTTCTGCTTATAGTTCCCCGATGACTGATGATTTTTGAGCATAGCTTCGTGTTTTATCAGTTATTCATATATTGATTTTCTGTGACATATGTTAGAGTCTTTTGCCCTTAAAGAAATCCTGCTTGTTTTTTTGTCTTTATTATTGAGATATAAGAATTCTCTGGAAGAATGGTCTGAATTTAAGGTCTGAGATAATGTGAAGCATACATCTTTCCTCTATAGTCTGGGTCTTATTATGTCTTAGTGGTGTCTATTTTTTCCTACTTTAAAAACCAGCTTTAAGAAATACATAATTTACATGATAAAATAGATCAAATTTAATGCATAACTGAATGCATTCATTTTTTTAGATTCATTTGTTACATGTGTGTGAATGTTTTGCTCATATGTATATATGTACAATGTGAGTACCTGGTGCCCTCAGAGGCCAGAAGAGGGCATCAGATCCCCTGGCACTAGAGTTTCAGGTGGCTGTGAGCTACCACATGGGCGCTTGGAACCAAAGTCCAGAAGAGCAGCAAGTGTTCTTCACTGCTGTGCCATCTCTCCAGCATTTTGAGTTTTTTAAGAAAATGCATATCCTTGTGATAATCACTACAGTCAGGACATAGAACACATCTAATCTCAATAGCTCCCCACTTACGATCAGATCACCCCACCCCCTTTGCCAACCCTCAGGCAACCATCCATCTGCTTCTGTCCTTATTTTATAAATGAGTTTCATGTGCTCTAGGATCACATAGAAATAGAATAACAGAGTATGGATTCCTTTGTGGCTGGCAGCCTTTTTTTAGCAAAATGTTTTTGACGTCTATTCATACTCTTGAGTGTATCAATAGCTTATTCTTTTTGATAGCTTGAATTTTATTTCTTTGCTTATAGTTTTCATTTTTGCCCACTGTTTTGCTTAAAAATTTCAATGTGATGTTGGAAAAAAATCTCAGTGGAGATGGGTATTTTCTGGCCTCGTTTCTGATCTTTGAAGGAAAGAGCTCTTTATTTCTCCGTTAATTATCTTCAATATACATTTTTACAGGCTGCCTTTGTTGTATTGAAGAAGTTCTATCCTATTTCTAGTTTGCTAGAAAAAATCATTTTTTCTGTTTTTATTTTGTTAATTAAAAATTTAAAAATTGCATGTATGTGTGTGTCTCTGTGAGCATCAGGTGCATGCAGGAGCATTGAGACACCAACAGAGGACCGCCCCTCCCCCAGTAACAACAGAGGGAACTGGAGTTACAGGCAATTATGTGGGGTCTGGAACCCAAACTTGGGTCCTTAGCAAAAGCAGCAAGCACTCTTAAACATGAAGGCATCAATTTTTATTTCTTTAAAGCAAATCATCAATAGATACTATGCTTTGATAGGGATGTTTCCGGGTTCTAGAAAGATGATCACATGATTTCCCTCCTTTATCTGGCTAGTACAGTGAATGGTGTTGACTGATCTCCAGATGTGGAACCCATCTTCAGTCCCAGGACAAGTCCTACTTGCTCATGACTGACTATCTTCTTTAGATTCTGCCATGTCTAATTTGCAAACATTTTCAAAAGAAGTTTTGCATCTGTATTTAAGAAGGATATTGCATTTATTTTTCTTATAACATAATTTTGGTTTCTTTTGTACAATTTTGGTTAGCCTAGGTGAGTCTTGGGCAAACTATGTGACTCAAAATGATCTCTACCCCAGGATCCCCTCCCACCCCCGCCCAGCCTTCTGAGTGGTAGGATTAGAGGCTTCTGAGTGGTAGGATTAGAGGCTTGAGCCACCATGTGTGGCTCTAAAATATCCTTTTAAGCGTTGGTATTGGGATTCTGTTAATTTTATAAAGAGTTGTGAGATGTTCCCTTTGTCTCTGTTTTCTGAGTTTGTCTAGACATAGTATCATTTTTCACTTAGATGCTTGATTGAATATACTAGTGAGGCCATCTGGACCTGGTGTTTATGTGTGCGCATGCAGATATTTTAAATTATAAATTCAATTCCTTTAATAGAAGCAGAGATATAAAGATTTTCTATTTCTTCTTGCACTAATTTTGGTGACTTCTGTTTTAGACACTACAGTATTTTTATTGATTCTTTGAGGACTTCATACACACATACAATGTATTTTGATTTTGTTCACCCCTTACTCCTCCCTTAATTCCTCCCACACCCCTCATCTCCCCCCTCTTTGGTAACTTGTGGGGTTTTTTTTCTCCCAAGGAATGTGTTCACTTTGTCTAAATTTTTGAGTCATTACATTTGTACATCACATTCTTCTGTCACTTCAAAATGCCAGTTGAAGCTGTTGTGATGTCCCCTCCACGCAGATGTTGGTGATTTGTGTTTTCTCTCACTTGCCTGGTTCTTGACTCCTGATTTAGTTATACTTTGGTCAGAAAACATACCCCTTGCGGTTTCATTGCTTCAAGACATATTGAGATTTGTGGTGTACCTTGATGAATAAATGCTCCATAGACATCCCTAAGTATTTACATTCTGTAATTCTTAGTTATTATTTAATTCCGTCTTAGTAGGATTTC